TGGCTCATTTTATCCTAGTTCGAGTAGATTACTCGATGGATAAGTTTGCGGAGTTGTATATAAAAGAGATAATTACACTACATGGAGTGCCTATATCGATAATGTCCGATCGAGACCCAAGGTTTACTTTAAAATTCTAGAAGTCTTTACATGAGGCATTAGATACTCGATTGAACTTCAGCATTTCTTTTCATCCACAGACAGATGAGAAGTCAGAACGAGCTATACATATATTAGAGGATATGTTAAGGGCGTGTGTGATTGAACATGGGAAAGGTATTTTTCTTTAGCGGAATTTGCGTATAATAATAGTTATCAATCAAGTATTAAAATGGCCCCGTATGAAGTTTTGTATGGGAGAAAATACAAAACACCATTAAATTGGTTTGAACTGAAAGATCGAGACCTGGTTGGCCCAAATTTGATGAAAGATATGGAGAATAAAGTGAAAATTATCCAGAGCAATCTAAAGATAGCCTCAGATCGCCAAAAGTCCTATACAGATTTGAAAAGAAAAGAAATAGAATATCAAGAGGGAGACAAAGTATTTTTGAAAGTATCTCCTTGGAAGAAAGTATTACGTTTTGGGCGAAAAGGAAAGTTGAGTCCGAGATTCATTGGACCGTATGAGATATTAAAAAGGGTTGGACCCGTAGCTTATAAGTTAGCTTTACCTCTGGATATGGATAAGATCCACAATGTTTTTCACATATCGATGCTTATGAGGTACAAATCAAATCTATCCCATATTATTACTCCTGGAGAAATAGAGATCCGACCAGATTTAACTTATGAGGAGGAACCAGTGCGAATCTTGGCTAAGGAAACCAAGGAATTACGTAACAAAAGGATTTCGTTAGTTAAAGTGCTTTGGTAGAATCATAAGGTATGATAAGCTACTTGGGAAAGAGATGAGGATATGAGAAAGTAGATTCCACACTTATTCGTTTCAGGTACTTCTTTAAATTCGAGGACGAATTTTCTTAAGGGGAGAATTATAATACCCCAAATAATAGGTCAATTACTAATTTGAAAGGAATTTAAAATTTGGAAGACTAAATTGAATAAATGGTAAAGTATAAAAAATGACTTAAGTAAGACCAATTAGTAAAAGATAGATTAATGAAAGGGTATTTTGGTCTTTTTAAGTGAAATGAATTTAAAACTAATTTAAAATTAGGGATTTAAGAAAAAGGGGAAAGTGAAAAACTATGCTAAGTTAGTTTACTCTTCTTCTTCCTCCTGTGGTTGAGTGTGTTCCTCCATAGCTTAAGGTAAACTTTATTTAGCTAATGTTTTCTTTTGATTCTAGTTGGTTCTTGTAACCTTAAGTGATATATAAGCTTAAGGAAAGGTTATATAAGATTAAAACTATGAGATGGAGGAAATAATAGAGAATTAAGAAAATGGGTTTTGAAATGATATGTTAAGATATGAGTATTTATTGATGTTTACTAGTAGATTTGACTTGTCATAGAGGTAAATGAGAGATTAGAAGCATTTGATGAGTTTAAAAACAAGTTAGAAAATGTGGTGTGATTCTTAGAATCAAATGATCTTGAGGGATGCTAGATATTTTAAGTATCTAAATGAAGGAAAATTAGTATGGATAAGTAGAGAAGAGTTAAATAGTATTGTTGTGGGTAAACATAAGGAAATTTGACCAAATTTGGGTATTTTTCGGGCTGAAAAATGGAAAATTTGGGTAATGGTATCGTACTGATAGAACAGTACTGATATTATAGGCTAAAATGGAAATAATCAACTGAGTAGTATCGATACTGAAGCAATCAGTATCGATACCGAAGGGGGTATCGATACTATGAGGAAGGTATTGATACCATTAAAAACATAATGCAAAAATGGTATTGATACCGTAATAGAGTATCAGTACCATAGTATAGTAGTATCGATACCATGGTAGGGGTATCGATACTAAGGAGACAGAAATTGTAAGATATGTTGATATTGTTATAGAAAAATTAATAATAGGTACTCTTGAGTAATGTTTAAGTGTAATTGTTAGGAACTATACTAAAAATTGATATTGTATATGTATTTAATGCATATTGAATAGATCGAAACAAGCTCCCGAGTTAAGCAAAGCAAAAGGCAAAGGCCAAGTTCCAGAGTAATCAGCTTTGCATTTTGGATACCAAAGCGAGGCAAGCCAGGTGAGTGCATTTAATATTTACTTATGTGTACGATTGTCATAAATGTATGATTGATTAATATATGTATGGTGATTATCGAATGGCACTTTGTGTGCAAAAAGTTAAGAAATTCATACTAAGTGTATGAATTTCCGTATGGGCACTATGTGTGAAAAAATTAAGAAATTCATACTAAGTGTATGAATTTCCATATGGGCACTATGTGTGCAAAATTAAGAAATTCATACTAAGTGTATAAATTTCTGTATGGGCACTATGTGTGCGAAATTAAGAAATTCATACTAAGTGTATGAATTTCCGTATGGGCACTATGTGTGCGAAATTAAGAAATTCATACTAAGTGTATGATTTCCGTATGGGCACTATGTGTGCAAAAATAAGAAATTCATACTAAGTGTATGAATTTCCGTATAGGCACTGTATGTGCAAACATAAGAAAGTCATAATAAGGAGGTGAATTTTTGTATTGGTAATGAGTATGCTACCCACGTATATTATAGTAATGGTTGAGAAATGACGGAATTAGCACTACCGATGTAAACTATAGAGTGTTTAAGGAATTGAAAGAATTATTGGAAATTAGAATTTTTATGATATAATTTTGTTGAGAATTTTGCTTATGATTATTAATACCTCACTAAGAAATTTCTTAGCGTGTGTTAATATGACTCGTAGGTTTTACTACAAGCGAAGTAAGGAGATTATCGGACTTCGAAGCAAGGGTCACCTCGTCAGTAACAATATGACATACATGTCTACTTTTTGATGTATTTAGTTGGCATGTAATATATTTAGTAAAAACGCTCTGAAAAAACATTTGAACGATACTTTTTGTTATGTAATTAAGTTTAATGCATGTTTTATAATAGTTTTAATTAAAATATTTTATAAAAAAAAATTACGGATTTTCAAAGGAAGAACTGTTTTAAAAGTGATGTGGCATCTCTATCTCGTATATGGAAAAGTAAACGAGAGATGAGTGTTACAAATAAGGTGGCGGAGTTTAGACACTGAAAGAAAAGAACTTTTCCTAGTTAGTGTATCTATTTGCCCTCCTGCTGGCAAATTGGGCCGGTTGATCATTATTTCGAGCAATAATTGTGAATTTTTTGGCCTAATAGGGCAGACATTTTATTTGGTCCAATAGGTAGTGTAATTTTATTTAGCCTAATAGGTAGATTGAATTTTATTTAGCTCAATAGGTAGATTTTTTATTAAACCTAATAGGTAGATTGGATTTTACTTTTTTTTTTAAACATTTTGACGCGAAGTAATAAAATTTAATAAAAAATTATATTTTATTAGAACTATTTCGAGGTGACAAGTTTCTTGAACACTCTAACAAATGTCGTAGATCCTTAACTAAATATCAACGTGTTCCATTACATTTTTTACCCCATGACCAAAAATGCCCATATATATGTGATCCATTTTTCTTGTGTTAAAGAGCCGAATGCCTGCTTCGAGATCTTCATGGTACGCATTTCGTCGGCGTTGATTCAGTTGAAATCAAGCCTAAGATCAAGATTATCCCTGGCATTGACCGTTCATCTCCTTGTGCAAATTGAATCCATATAATAAACTGTGCTCGGTTTGGTTGTTCATCTTGATACAGAGGATCTTTGATCAAGGAAACACCTTCCTCCTCGTTTTTGGACCGATATGTCCAACAAATTCACCGACCAAATCAGGCCGTTGCATTACATCTTTCTGTCATTCATAATAACCGAAGTATAAAACAAACATGTTTTTGATAATCTAGATCACCAAAAGAAGTTAAATACAGTGAATTATTGGTTTCTCCCCTTTTTTGTGGTGTTTAATTATTATCCAAATAAAAAGAAGAGGAATCATGAGGTCCATGGTATTTTACACGTTTTTCTTTGTGGGGTTTGTCTTAATTTTTTAAGAGATAAATTTATCTACTGTTGTAATGCATGATTTTGTGATTCTTATACATACTATAATTACATGTATTGCTTCAGCTGGGGCTATTTTGGAACCAGCATGGTTCGTAGCTACAAGACTTCTTGCTGAGGATTGCTAGGAGATAAATCCAGGCTGAATTACAGAATGGAATTTAATCACATGATTTCAAACAAAACTATGAAAGAAGATACTAAAATAATTGGGTCCAAATAATATTTACAGGCGACAAACATTTTTATTAAGCATGGCTGTGAAAACATAATAAATCGCAGGAGTAAATAACACATGTTCGGTCACTGAATAATTAGCAAACTATCGATGGTTAATTTTCAACATTCTGCACAATTTGATCAAAGAGTTGACAGAGGGGATCGATCATAATGCAAATTCTCCGTGAACAAAAGATTGATCAACTGGGAATGTAGCCGATATTTCCGGTGCATTCGTCTATTCAGTTCTGTCCAGAGGCAAAAATTCACAGTTTTTTAAGCATTTTCATTGCAGTTAAATGTTTGATCATTTGAAATTATACAGGAGAACGACGAAACTTAAGACCTGAATTAATTAGGCTTTGTTTAGATTGTGTTTAAATTCAACTAGATAAACATCAAGTTGGATCCAATTTAGTTAATCAGTCCAAATATAATTTTTATAAAAATTTATTTCGATTACTTGCTATAGCTAATCAAACTAATAATAAATTACAATTTGATTGTAATTGTACCCGTAATGTTAAATTCAAAACGAGAGGTCATCAGATAGGAGCGAAAGACTAAAACAGATTCATAATCATGGAGATTATCAGCTGAACTATGCATTTTTCGATCATCACTTGGCCTCTCTATTCAAACAAATCAGATCAAACCAATTAAACATTTTTTTAAAAATATATAGAGAAGCCTCATAAGGAAGGCAGTAGAGATACGAGTAATCATTCGTTTTCATAAATTACAATGATACCAATTTCATCACTGCCAAAAAACTTTACCATTTCTTATGAACATAACAAAGGATATAGAATTGAATCAGAAAAACAGATCAAAATTGATTTAATCGGCCTCATAGAGAAGATTATGCATTTCAACAGAAAGTATTTCAGACATATGCTTGTCATTAAAAGTATTTAATCATCGGCCGACTTTCAAACAAAATCAATAGCTGTAACGATTCAAAACATGAATATGTAAAATAATCATAAATTTGAAATGAGAAAGAAAGAGGGGACTCGGAATATGGGTGGTCGGCAAAGGCTATTGAAAACAGCCATTTACGACGAACGAGACCTTTCTGATAGAATCGTCACAGCCCCAATTATCATTTGCTTTGAAAAAAGGACAAAAGAACCTAAATCATAAGCGACGATTGAAATTAGGATAAAAGATCCGAATTAGACGAGTGAAAAAAAAAGCGCAGCTCAGAGCAGTAGAAGAATAGAGGGAAGGAGAACACCGTTGACGTTTATGAGCCCCCAAAGAGTACCTTATATAGAGACTTGAATCAAGCGAGCTAGGGTTTTGCGGGAATTGCGAAACAGAATGGTACTCTAAATGGACCTGAAAGCATTCTGTGTATTTAAATGGGCCTGGACCAGGAAAGAAAAGTCAGGGTTCTTGTCAACGTTTAGACATCTATAGTAATATAAGAAAAATATTAGCCTTATAATTATATTTCTACCCATTATAATTACTTTTATATGATTCATTATTTTTTTATTTATTTGGAGCAAGTACATAATAGTATATGTTTAAAGATAATTTTTAATCTTTTGACATTGAACGCTCACAAATCTCTCGGATTCTCAAGAAACAACAATTCTTTTACTATAAAGGTTACTTGATTCATGCTTATATGATTGATCAGTGAAACCATAATTGAACATAATTTAACCATAGACGTTGATATAATTCTCCTTTTGTTGCAAAGTTAGGATACATATCAATCCAATGAATAGCTTCGGTAATATAATAAAAGTAAAGTTGTTTTGTTTTAAAAATTTTGAATTCGAATAATTATGTTTATTAAGATATATCATATATTTACATTGTAACATTGTGAAAGATTAATAAACATTTTAGAAAAGATAAAGTACACGAATAGTCCACTAACTATATGTATTATTTTATTAAGTCCATCAACTATTAAAAATTATAAAATTATTTTTTTGACTATTAAGTGTTGTTTTGTTGAATGCCTCGAACATCAAAAGTTACAAACACAAATGTCTTGTTTAACGGTGTTGTTGTAACAGTTGGAAGAAGAAACACAATACAACATCGAACCGCCTACCAGGCAAGTAGCCCGTATTTCCAACCAAACTACATTTGCAGAGCAAAATGTTTTACATTCTACGTGAACAAGCAGCGTTACATGTGCCACCAGAATCAGGCACACGACTAGCAAAATCTAAAATCTGATCCTGTATTGCCAACACGTTCATCGTGCGGGTTCTCTGGTGATTTGAATCCGATATCAGAGAAAATAAGCCCGTACAACTGCTACATTAAACCCTAGCTTCCGTCGGATCTACTTCTTTTGAGAGGTGAACGTTTGTCGAGTGTTGACAGGATACGGGGCATGGAGATCCCTCCGGACACGACGATTTCTGCAACGGAAGAATATGAATAATTAACAAAGTACTCGTATCTCGCATTCACACCCAAGCTCAGTAACATAGATTACCACTTCACAACAGGAGAAACCATCCTCAGGTGAAGTGGCAATTTCATGTCCCCTCCCCGTTTAATCCATTTGCATTTGTAAATAATAACGGAAGAAGTAGATCGCTCACCGATTCCTTCACGGACCGACAGATTTGGTCTGAAAACATCCTTGGTATTGATAAGGAATATATCACCAACGTAAAGATGATTCGTGGGAACATATACACAACATAGCTCTTCTTCACCGGAGTAGCTCTGCATTTCAAAATCATAAGAATAAATCCAACACTCTCGATATAGCTATGAAAGTGAAACAGTAGTCGAGAAACATTGATTTTTTTAAGACTTTTTAACAGTTGAAGGACTAAAACCGAACAGACCGATAACTTAAAGGGAACAAAAAGCTTTATTTGCACACCTGCAGTGTAACAGATGATGTGATGAACCCAAATGCACATTCCCCAGCACGTGGATGCCTTATGATGGCTACTTCCTTGAAGGCCTGTGTGTTCTGATCTGTAGATATGGCAGAACTAATTTGCTTGGAAGCATTGTAGATATGTCGAACAAATGGCATCCGCTTGATAAACCACTCGCCAAGGCTCAGGAAAAATGCTCCCAACCAAGATGACATGAATACCCCAATCAAGAAGATGAATGTTAAAGAAGTTATAAATCCAAGACCTATCAAGGAAGCAGACATCAAGAAACTTGTTAGGTAACTAGAATACCAGAGTAACCCGTTTAGTAAAAAATGAACTGGTATTGTCAACGAGTGTTGGCACAAGTGGTTGAGATTCAAGAATTTGAGCTTGTAAGCCCAAGTTTGAATCCCACCACTGTCACTCTTGGTGGACAATCTGTAAAGTCCTATGTAAATCTCAATTGGGTCTTAGGTATGCCTTGGCCTTGGACGGGGGGAGACACTCTTGACCTAAACTTTATTAACCAAAACAAAATGGACTGCTATTGAGATACATCAGTTAAACTCGTAAATCATTCGCAAGGGCCTTCCGGAGAATCCATTCTAGCCATTTTGCCATACATATCATGTTCAGCAAGATAACCTTTAAAGATAGTAGACAGCTAAAAGTGAAATCTCAAACAAGCACTTTGTCCTACACTAAAATCCCATGAAAACTGTGGTTCTATGGATATTTCATGTGAATAATAACAGAAGAATTAAGCTATTGCCAAAGAGCCAAAGAGCCAAAGATGATTGACAATAGAAGAAGATTCCTCCAGTCCAGAATATCATTGATGCTCTCACAATATACACTTCTACTGGCTAGAATTTCTAAAACGTTGCAGACACTACAGTGCTCATCATCATAAACCTTCAAGAAAGATTGAAAAATGTTTACAAATTCAACGATAAAGGAGGACGGGGGAATAAAAGCTTTGACAACAATGAACGAAATTCACATGTTTAGATCGAAAGGAGAAAGAAAGGTTTTTAGCTGCCAACTAATGAGATGCTTATCGACTATATCAATTCCAAGATGAACATAAATCGGAGAGAAAAAGCCATCCACAAAGTGAATAAACCACCATGTTATGTAGAACGTGACTTCTATAGGAAACAGAATAACGCTGCAAAAAACTAAGAATCAACAACTGCTACAACAGCAACGCAAATGACTATCAAAATTCTATAAGATATGATGCTATAAATATGTATATTCGGCTATTCTCTACTGGAACCATAAATACTAAAATTAAAGTTAATATAATAAAAGGTCAAAAAGTCATGATGGAAAGAATCCCATTTTGTAAGATCAAATATAAATAGCAAAGGAAGTTCAAGACGGCCAACAATTTTAATAGAAGATAAATAGCATATGGTATTAATAGCTCACAATTTTCTTTATCAAATTTAAAATCCAATTTTATCCTTTAACAATGAAATTTATATATTTGGATCTCATACATCAAAGGAAAAACAGTTTTGCTTAGGAGAATTCATTTTTTTGGCAACTGTAATTATTTAGCCAAAATGACAAGATATGTCTCAACTATAGCCTACCTCGAACCATGGAGACATTTAAGTTTGATGTATTAGTGAAAGCATTTTCAATCATGATCAATGATACAAGACATGAAGCTAAATTGGAACATATCAATTCTTTTCACAAGGAAATATCATACAGATTATAGTTACACAAAAATCCATCATGAGGCCATAAATCTGGAGTATGGATATGAAAGAATGGCACTTACCATCCTGTCATGAACTTCTTAGAAGCCCAACTCCTAGCAGCTTTGTAAAAGGTCTGCATAAAACAAGGCTTGTCAAGCATATTTAAAAGCATCGTACGCACTAATTAAATGAGTTCATAGACAAGAACAATCATATAATTCCTATATAGGCAACAAACTGAAAACATTATTTTCGACAGATTTCATTAGGAGCCATAACTATTTTCTTCAGGACTTCACCCAATCCATCAACTAGGAAATATAATGTCATCAGGGATGGACCCCCTTGAAATTTTAAAATTACTATCTATTTTAGATTTTTTCTATGTATTTTCTATTGAAAATCTATTTCCCCCCTGTAATTTTAAAAGTTAAAGTTCGCCCTGCCCCCAACATAGAATCCTATGTCAGTCCCTGAATGTCATCAAGTCACATAAGCAGAAGGGTTACTTCAAATTTAAGCCTGCTACCCTAAACCCAAAATTCATTCAAGTGCATTAACAGAGGGATTCAGTAGCTCAATGCATATATACAAGTTATGGAATATTCAATGTTATGAGCTTTAACAAGCTTCCCAGAGCATTTTAAGCTTGAAAAAACAAATGTTCAGTTTCCATAACACTTACGGAATCAATATTTATCAATTAAAACCCGATCTAAAACATCCAACTACTCTCCGTTAGCAACAAATTTAACCAAACAAAACCTCGTTAAGCTCCATTAGTTCAAAAAATTGTGGTTACAATCTTAAAATTAGCGGCACGAACAGCTCAAGACCGAGTCAAACGAATTAAACAATAGTTAAACAGTAACTATAAAATAAAAGGAAATGAGAGCAAAAGAGACCTCTTGACCGGCATGAAGTGGGGAAGATGAAGAAGAAGACGGTTTAGAGGAATCATCGTGGACGGAATCGGCGACTGGTATTAGAAGCTCAATATCTCTACTTTCCATAATATTGTCGATTTTTCATCTCCCATAACCACACACAGAAAGAAAAAAACACTGCTATTAATCCCTTTCTCAAAGATCAAAAAACCCCTTAGCCCGCTTTCAATCTTTCTTATCTCAAATTCTCTGTTTATAGAAAAGAAAGAAAGAAAGAAAATGAGAACTCTCAGCAGTTCAATTACTCTCTGAAATTTGCTCCCTTGGTTTTGGCCGCTTATTGCATTTCTTTTTGTTTTATTTTTTTTTTTACTTTAAATTTTCAAGTTATTTATGAGGGCGAGTATTGAGCAACTTATCCGAATTAGTTGGTTTGGTGTGATTTATTGGGTTTAAATTACTTAGTTTTAAGAATGGAATTATTTTATTAGTTTGATAGGTTACCAGTTTATTTTAAATTTAATAATCGAGTAGATAGATTGGTTAGATTGATTTTTATAAATTGATTTATTTTGATCAAATTTTAAATATATATTTAAAAATTATATTGAAATATTTAAAAATAATTATATTTAATTAATGTAGGATTTCTATTGGCATTGCCGATTTATAAGCGTGTGGGAGGTCAAATTATAGTCGTAGGCGTGTTAGTATTAATCAAAGCTTAACATGAATTATTTTAAGGAATTTAAAGCTGATTAAAGTATATATATAATATGGGAAAATTTCAGGGTTGGTTTGAATCTGGCAGAATAATTGCAAGAGGTGTAATTGTTAACACTAAATTAAATGGTCACTGAAGTATGAATAAATTTATCTTTTTAGTATTAAAGCTTTAAAAGTAATGAAATGGATATTAGCGTTATCAATTTTGAGTAAAGTAGTCAAATGGTCTCTCAGGATATTGTTTTGCTGATTCCTTCAACTCATATAATGATATTTTGTTAAATCATCCGATTATTAAAAATTATAAAATCATCACCTAATTATTCATATATTCTAAACTCATCTTTTTTGTTAAAAGATTTATGTCCATTTGAGTTAGACGTCTACTTGTTGAATGAGATATAATAAAATTATATTTTAATAATGTATACTAACATCGTTGTTGCTTTTACACACTGGCTCGACAACATAATATTTTCAGGCATTGACTCGACAGTAAAATATAAACGGAGAGTCGATTTATAAAATTCAACTCAATCGGTTCAAGAATCAAATTTCATCATATCTAAGTAAATATGATAACATCCAACTTAAATGATCATCAAATTTTTAACAAAAAATATGAATTTTAGACATATGAATATTTAGGTGACCATTTTATAACTTTTAAAAATCGAAGGACACAAGAAAGCAATGCTCCATTATTGGAAACTATTTTATAATTTTTAACAACACCCTATAATTGAGGTATAATTTATATACTTCGCTAAGCCTGTAAACAAACCGAACATTCGGCTAACCGTTCTGTGGAAAGTTCATTTATTTATTAAACGAACATGCATGAATAAGATATAATGTACGTTTAATTAAATGAACGAACACTTCGTTTATTTATGTTCGTGAACATTTGTTTATATTCGTTTATGTTTATTTATGTTCATTCGTTTATATTCGATTCAATCTTCAAGCATATTTGAAATACTAACACCTAAAAAAATTTAACCCATTAATATTTTAAAACCTAATTAATTTTGAACCCAAATAAAAACACTCAAATCAATTAAAGAAAATATAAATCTTAAAGATTAGGATAAAGTATATAAATAGTACCTGAACTTTTAGGGCGCTTACATTTTGGTCACCCAACTATTGAAACTTGCAGTACAGTCATCAAACTTTTAGTTCATTTTTATTTTGATCTCTGTCGTTACCTTCCGTTAGTGTTTGATGACGTGGCACTTAACTGCATTTAACCCCTTCTTCTTCTTCTTCTACTACTACTACTACATTTCACAAACTGTATAAACCATCCACTTGCGGTTGGTGTTGCTCAATGTGTCGCGATCTTTTTTAATAGCTATGCATTTCACCAGGTCGATGTGATCGGTTAGGACCGAGAGACACATGTGGATGACGCATTCTTCCCGCCTCCAAATGTATATGCTCTTATCAGCAGAGTCGGTGAATATCAAGTTCCGTACGGTAGCCATGCAGATAAGCGCCATTTTATGGCCCTTTCAAAGCCCACAGTGCGGTAGGTTTTAGTTCCCATGTTCCCAGAAGTTGACGAGTCTGTCGAACGATCCGCAATATAATGTCGTCGATTACCTGCTCATGGCCAACGTCGTCACATCATTCTCTTGCTTCAACAACATTTGAACCATGGAATGCTTCGTTCATTTCTCTAGAAACTCTTTCTTCCAGGCCTTGATCGTCCCGTCGGTGAACACGAAACCATTGAAATCGACGAGGACGGAGTTTATAGCATCGTCGATGGATTCCAAGCACTTGAAATTGGATATCCACCATACTTTCATGGTTTTAAGCACGAAATAACATAGAAATGCTTGATCCGAAGAACACTATTTTTTTTCTGAACTTCAACGTAGTTCTTCAGTTTAATGGAGCCTTTGAGGAAATCGATGAAATTCGGGAAACTACCATGTCTTTTGATCACACTAGGGTTCGACAACAAAACTTTACAGCAATGGATTTTACCGTCTTGATGACCAGTGAAGACCAAATCATCCAACACAATAATGGCTTTGACCAACCCACTTTTAGCTTTGAAACCCAAAAACTCCTTCAATTTCTCCAGACACGGATGGTTTTGCTATCGATGTCGATGTATAACACATCACCAACGGCAATCAATGAATAAATATGGTCTTATTCTTTGACGATAGAGTCGATGAGTTTGATTTGGCCAAAATTGTTCTCGAGCGAAGATGAATAAGGAAAATGCCATGAATAATGCTGAATCCACGGCAACAACATCATGTGAGGATGAGAACCCTTGCCGCTGGTCGAGGTGTTAATGGAATACCTCAGATTTGCCATTGAAGCATTGCTTTCATAATGTGGTGAGTCGTTGTCTTCTTGACCAACATCGTTTTTTATTGGAAACGAATCATGGTGCTGATGGAATACCTCAGATTACTTGTATTAGGATTGATGAATCTCAATTGAACAACCGAATAATTGCCAAGAGGGGGTGAATTGGCCAATTGAAAAATTTTGGGTATGGAGGAGAAAATATAGGAAAATTTGCACAATGATTGATAGTGGTTCGACTTCTAAACCAAGTCTACATCCACTACCTTAGCTCCACACTAAGGATTTTCTAACAAATTCACTAATTTGTTCTTTCTTTTTCTAGGCTCAAGAGTAACCTTTACAAAACCCTTAGTTTTTCAATGGCTAAACTAAAACCACTCCCTTTTCACAAGGTTAAAAGAAGTAAACAAGAAGACCTCTCAAAGGTAGGGTGTTTACAAGATTTAAGCTCACAAGAAAAACAATTAAAAGATTTACAACGAGCTCAAACACACTTATGTACAAGAGAAAAGGAAAGATAAAGAGTGAAATAGCTTTTCTCTTTACCTCTATTGCTTGGATAAGTGTTTTCACCTTCTTCAAATGTCCTCAACTTATTTTTATATGTTGGAATGAGTTTGTGGTTGTTTCTAGTCATTGGAGATGTTTTGGAGCCGTTGGGGATTAATTTTCTATAAAATAAAACTGCCAGAACAGGAAGTATCGATACTCATTTAATGAGTATCGATATTACCTTTGTAATATTTAAATAAACTAGCCATTGAAGATCGTTGGGCTTGACCAGTATCGATACGATGCTTCATGGTATCGATACCACTGTGTAAAGTAGTATCGGTACCCCTTGAGTATCAATACCTATTTTGCGTTCTGGAATTTGAGCAATTTGGAAAATAATTGGTAGTATCAATACTACCTAGAGAGTATCGATACTTCTCTTACCTTTGGTATCGGTACCACATGAACAATATCGATACTGTAAGAACAGTATCGGTACTACGTACCCAGAAAATTGTTTTGTGCTCAAATTCTAGTTTAATGGACTTTGAATTATTTTTGAAAACTTTGAAAAATTCAATCAAGTCCAAAAACAATTTGTCTTAATTTGTTATATCAAAATATTATAAAACATGGTTCAACAATCTCCCCCTTTTTGATATAACAAAACATTTGAAAATTTGTTTTGGCAAAACTCCTACTTAATAAAATATTTCATGAAAAAAGATAAATATTTGGAAAATATTAAAGCTCCCCTTTTTCATTGAGAAATTGAATTTTTCAAACCTATACTTCTCCCCCTTTTTGTTATATAAAAAATAATTCAAATTTAATGGTTCAAAACAACAATGAAGTGTAAATAAGAATTTTAACATAAAATCATTTGAAAAATCAAAGCTCCCCCTCAATAAAAGCATTCCAAGAAAACTTTTGACACAAAAGTTTAACACTTAAAAGAATATTGAATTTTAATGAGATAATAAAGAAAACACATTAGTAGCACATGAAATTCAATAAATCCAAGTCAAACATACTTATGCAATAATAACAAATAAGACATTATAACTAATAAGCATAAAGCATTCTCAAGTGTTATGCATTTAACATAGACATCAATTGTTAGAGAGATATCATAGGCAATGAAGAACACATGCACACATATTTAAAACAAATTAAGGTCAAGAAAAAATTTAAAAAAATTAAACACAACTTGACCAAAAACAAACATTTTGATGAACTTGAATTTTATAAAAATCATTTTAAAAGGCATGTTCATCATAACATATTTTCAACATACATGAGATAGAAAATAACAAGTTATCATTCATGTTCAATACTCATGCATGCATAAAAATCAATAGGCAACTAATTTACAAAATCAAAAAGCTTTAAGGTTAGAGGTTACCCATTCTTATTTTATGTAACAAGAGCAATTGAAATCATTTACCTTTATCACATTGCCCCAACACACCTAAAAGAGACATTCATTTGGATTCTGGTATCCAAATTGCTTTGGGTCCTAGAATGTTAGTGTCAATGTCTTTAGTTCCCAAAGGAACCCATACTTATCTAATTTTAAAAGATTTTATTTTCTTTATAGGACAAGTATGTACATTTGAAAATGTCAATGTGAGCATCTTGCCATTTTTAACATAGATGAATTGTTTTTAGAAACAATTTTTTTTTCTTTTGTTAAGCATTCAAGCTTAACTTTCAATTCAATATTTCCTTTTCCAAATCTTCAATTTTGGTTTTCGAAAGCTCAAAATC